TATATATATATATATATATATTATTTTAGAAGAATTCCCGTTTGAATTATTACAAGCTCCAATGGAAATGGAAAAGTAAGCAAAAAGGGACAGAAATCGTTTAATTATTGCGTTGCTCCCACTGTGACAAACAAGGAAAGAGTAAAAATATCATAAAATAAATAAGTTAAGGAAATAAGGAGGTAATAAATTAAAAAGTGGTGAACTTTTTTTTTTTTTTTCTTTCTTCTTATATATATTATTCTTTTATTTATTTATTACTTATTTTTTAATTAAATAATTAAATTTTTACTCTTTTTTTTATATTTTATTTTTGTCGTATTTCTTTCTTCTCTACTAAACCCAAGATTACTCTTGAACGAGTGTTTCAGCGTGATATCATTTCGTTCTGGTGCACACAAATGCGATTTGTTGGTAATATAAAAGTGCCGGAGATTTTAAAAATATCTTTATAAAAAAATAATAGTTCGTATCGCTTTTAATAACTATGATGCTGGATGTGGTACCATGATTCACCTACCCATTGTTTACACATGGACTAAACAATGGTCAGAATTGGTGGGTATTTGTTTTTCAACCACGTCATCCCTTTCAAAATCTCCTACGTACCTCTTCCATTTATCAGCTATCACTCAATTTTTGAATGTTCCACGAAATGGAAATATAAGAGGAAAATAAAACGGGGTGACTCTGTTTGTTATCTAGCAAAACAATTCTATGTTGAATTCAACGTTTCGATATCTGAAATTCTACGCACTTTTTTTTAAATGTTCAATTAAAGAAATTAAGAAATTTTTAATATATAGTTAATTTTTTTCTTCTAATTTTTAATACTACTCTACACACTATTTTTTCTCCTAAACATAAATATCTAAAACAATTAAAATAAGTTAATTTAATTTATTACAAGTTGACATTCTAAATGGGTTTAACCCAATCTAATCCATTTTTTAAGAAATCAAGAAAATGACAATTTGACTTGATCTATCATAGATTAAAAATTAATTCATTATTTTTTTAAAAAACTAAATATCAATATATATATCAAAAAATTTATACAAAGTCATTTATTAATTCAAAAACAAATAAAAAATAAAGTGTCTTTCAAATGATATATATATTTTTTAATTATTGGGATATAACAATTTTATTATGTTTTAATTTTTGGTGGATTATGTGAGTCAATTTAACTCAAATTTATTTGACTTATAGGTTAAGTGAGTTAAGATTGGTATAAAAAAAATTAACTCACTCTAACTTGAACTTGTGGAGAGTTAGATTGATTATAAAACTGATTCATTTTATGAGTATTTTTTGTCAAAAATTAAGGATTAATCTTTTAAAGTATTGAGATTTAATTAAAAAATCAATATTTTCTAACAAATGTTTTTCTAATGCATGGATAATATTTTTAATAATTTATCACTAACCATATATTTAAGATAAAATATTATCTGTAAAAAACATTAAGAACTCATTCAGCATTCCTTAAGAGATGAAAAGTCCTAGTAAAAACATTTATAAATTAACCATCCATAAAGTATGAATATTTTTCTTGCGAGTAGGCATGACAATCTAACCCGCCCGTGGATACTCGCCTCAATTTAGACAGGGAAAACTCGTGTTTATCAGGTTCGAGTTCGGGTTTTCTCCGATTGATAAAATCGGGGGCAGGGTGGGGACAGGATATTAATACTCGCCCCACTCCCGACCTCGTCCCTACCCCGCTTAATAATATAATTTAAAAAGTTATTTATATATATATATATAAACTAAAATTAAAAATATTTATATATAAAAATTTATATTATTTTATTTTTCTTTTATTTTTTAAAAAATTTATTTATATTTATTTAAAAGAAAAAAGAAAAGAAAAAGAGTGGAAGTGGAGGCAGGGTGGTGACAGGGCGGGGAAACCCAAACCCGCCAGAAACAAGAAGGGATACCCAAATTTTATCCCGATCAGCTTTGCGAGCCAGATTAGTAATTGTATTTGTTTACATAGCATCATTGTTCATTTAATACATGCAATTAAAAGCATTAATACTAGAACTCTAGAAGGGATTGAGAGAGAGAATGAGAGTCAAAAGCAAAGACAAATAAGAAGGTGTCCAAGAAATGGAACGGCATGCAGCATGCAAGTCAAAATCAGAGTTGGCCAACCCCGAATGCTGAGGTTGGTATTGGTAAGGCTGGCCCTTTTACACTAACTCAACTCAACTCAACCACTTCTCTCACATCCACTCAACGCTTCAGATTCATTCTCACTCCCCAATCTCACCCGTCCATTCAAATGCACATGCAAATCGATGAATCTAACCCATTTTCTAATCTTGTTTCTTAGGGGCCTTTCCGTCATCAAATCTAACCCATTTCCCCTATAAATCCCAACTCCATGCTCACATTTCAACTCGCATCGCTTCAGACTTGCCCCACTCAACCACCACTCCTCCTTCATACCTCTCTCTGCTCTTCCACCTTTTAAGGTACCCTTCTCTCCCAACCTTCTGATTCTTCTCATATCGTTCATTCCGTAGTTCAATTTCGGATCTTGCTCTCTGGGTCACTTTGCTTTTGTTTTTCCTCAATTGGGTTGTCTTTGTTTCCCCCAAACGTTTTACAAGAATGTTAAATCTACTCTGTTTCTTTATATGCTGCGAAATACACTTTAGCCTTTCAGATCTAGTCGAAATCGTATCATATTGCCATTTCTTTCTGAAAAAAAAAAAATTTACTTTTTTGTGGGATTTCGGATTCCTCATTATACCCTGACCTTGCACTGAGATGGGGTTCTGTAATTATCAGAGGGTTTTAGTAAATTTTGGAGTTGTGGTGGAAGAATAGTCCCTTCACCTATACCCAAGCCCTCTTTGTTACATGCTTTGTCTCTATGGTTAAAGAATGGCACTTTATTTGTTTTACTTTTTTATCCGAATCTTATGCATGTGTTTTGCTCTCTTTTGTAAACGTGGCACCTAGTAAAAAAAATATTTAATAAAAATTACTCTTAGATTAGAAAAAGAGTCTTATAGTAACTATACTACGATTCCTCTTTATATTTTTGGTACTTATTCCATGCTTGTTGTGCAGTTTAAAGATGGCAGAGACTTTCCTATACACCTCCGAGTCTGTGAACGAGGGACACCCCGACAAGCTCTGCGACCAAATCTCCGACGCTGTCCTCGACGCGTGTCTTGAACAGGACTCAGACAGCAAGGTCGCATGTGAAACATGCACCAAGACCAACCTTGTCATGGTCTTCGGAGAGATCACAACCAAGGCCAACGTTGACTACGAGAAGATCGTGCGCGACACCTGCAGGAAAATCGGCTTCGTCTCAGACGATGTGGGACTCGACGCCGACAACTGCAAAGTCCTCGTGAACATCGAGCAGCAGAGCCCCGACATCGCTCAAGGCGTGCACGGCCACCTCACCAAACGCCCTGAGGAAATCGGCGCCGGCGACCAGGGTCACATGTTCGGCTACGCCACCGATGAAACCCCGGAATTGATGCCACTGAGTCACGTCCTGGCGACCAAACTCGGTGCCAAACTCACCGAGGTTCGGAAGAATGGGACATGCCCTTGGCTGAGACCTGATGGGAAGACCCAAGTGACTGTTGAGTATTACAATGACAAGGGTGCAATGGTTCCTGTTCGTGTCCACACCGTGTTGATTTCAACTCAACATGATGAGACTGTGACGAACGATGAAATTGCTTCTGATCTGAAGGAGCACGTGATCAAGCCTGTGATCCCTGAGAAGTACCTTGATGAGAAGACCATCTTCCACTTGAACCCTTCTGGGCGTTTTGTGATTGGTGGGCCCCACGGTGATGCTGGTCTCACTGGGAGGAAGATTATTATTGATACCTATGGTGGTTGGGGTGCTCATGGTGGTGGTGCCTTCTCTGGGAAGGACCCTACCAAGGTTGATAGGAGTGGGGCCTACATTGTGAGGCAAGCTGCTAAGAGCATTGTGGCCAGTGGACTTGCAAGGAGGTGCATTGTGCAAGTTTCTTATGCTATTGGGGTGCCTGAGCCTTTGTCTGTGTTTGTTGATACTTATGGCACTGGGAAGATTCCTGATAAGGAGATTCTCAGCATTGTGAAGGAGAATTTTGATTTCAGGCCTGGGATGATTTCTATCAACCTTGATCTCAAGAGGGGTGGCAACAACAGGTTCTTGAAGACTGCTGCTTATGGACACTTTGGCAGAGAGGACCCTGACTTCACTTGGGAAGTGGTCAAGACTCTCAAGTGGGAGAAGGCATAAGAAATTTGAGTTTTTTGAGCTTGCCCTTATCTGTCTAAATATTCGATCAACACTGTCCTCGTCTCTTGTTCTGTGTGTTTCTCACCCCCTCTTACTATTTTGTTTCTTCTATGTTCTTTTACATTTGTAATTTTTTATTACATGATCGAGTAAAATAACGTGGTCTCAGTTTGTATGCATAACACCAATGCATGCCTTGATATCATAGTATTCAATTCAAATGTTTTCATTGCAATGCTTCTTTCGATGAACTCACATGCATTTTAAATACTTGGTGCTCCCAATTTAAAAAAAGAAAAAGAAAAAGAGCTGCAATTTGGATAGAAGATAAATGGTAAACTAGTCAAGTATGGTGTTGGGTAGATTAAATAACTGCCAAACAACGTTGTTAACCGTTGAGTAGTGCAGGTCCTGTGAGATGCTGTTTTCTTGGTTAAAAATTAGTGACACTCACAACTAAGGAAATCATATTTTATTTCCGGTTTTTCTTAAACAAAGCTACTCCAACATTTTTTACATACTTAATTGTTGTTGGTTTTCGTTTACCTACTCATCACCATTGGAGCTGAGAAAAGTAGTTTGAACTATGTGCAAATATAGTAATGCATACAATTTTATGCGTTTTTGTTAAAATTTTTGAAATTTGGAAAGATTGTCATCACAAAATGTAAGTATCGATGGTTAAAAAGGTGTTCAATTCATGCTCTCATGTTATAGGAGGAAAGTGGGCGAAATGTGCAAATAAGATTTCTTGTGAGCAAATATTTGGAGATGTCATGTATAATTTTTTTTAAATGAAAGTAAATAAAAGAAAGGAAAGATTACAAAAATCTGCACTCCGCATCATATTTGTACCAATGCCTACTATTATAAGGAGACTATAATAGTTTTTTTTTCCTTTTTTTTTTTGAAGGTGACTATTATAGTGTAATGTTGTACCAAGGCTTACTATATATTACAAGAAGACTTCACTAACAAAATCGCATAAGAGGGATTCGATGCCCACAACCCACAAAACATCCTTATATCCAAGCAACTCAAATAACAATCCAGATAATTCTGCCTTCGTGTTATGTTGAAAGCAAAATTGTTTGTCATGTGCACTTCTTTTTTATGGTTCATCTTACATTTAACAGGCTATGTAATTTTATGTAATGGAGTTTAGAAACTTATCCAGAATTACATTTTTTTTTTTATATTTTAAATAATTTTATTAATCCTTTTTATTTTTAATATATTACGTATTAAAGAATTTTAAGTGTTGTACATTTTTTTTATTATCCGTTAACTAGCAAATTAAACACACTAGATGCAAAGTGCTTAAATTTTTGGCCCGTTAGCTTGCTTCATGGACCAATCTCATTGAATCCGGTTAAGTACTGTTTTAGGGTTCAGTGAGTAATAATTTTAATTTCTCTCTCAAATATATGAATCTTTTTCTTTTGTTTGTCCAAAAGAAAGAAAGAAAGGCCTTTCTAAAAAGTTTATGAACCCATTTAAGCAAAATATATAAAATAAAACAAAGTGTGATACTATCATATGGCCCTATGAAATATACCTGCTGAAGTGGGTCATTCCTGTTTTGTAAGGCAAGGATAAGACAAATGCAAATTTTACATCTCTTATCCCAAAGCGAATGAATCTTGGCATTCCATGTGATTTATTTATCCTTCCAATTCTTATTATTGATTAGATACTAATAGCATGATTAGCATTGATAGTACTAGGCACCTCCCAAAGGATAAGTGAATAATACTATACCAATTGAATTGAGAACCACGAAAGCGAATTATAAAAGATGCCAAGACAAGAGATCCATAATAGGTGTTGGTTGAGGTATCTTTATCAAGGTTACAATGCACTACATTTCTATGTTGCCGGAAGCTGCAAAAGCCAAAAAGGGACCAACTACAACACCAATATTCGTATCTCACTTTTATTATACTATTCTTATTTAAGATGGATCGACACTTTAAACAGGGACAAATACAACACCAATTTGTATTTCTCACTTGTCGTATTCAAAGTCTAACTTCTACTTTGGTTTGGGATATCCTATCTTGTAACATAATTTATAATTATTTCAGTTTTGTACCAATTCAGGTAACATAAATAAGAAGTACGCAGTTAAATAACATTTTATTATATTTATAATGATTAAGAGTATATTATGAAAAATATTTTCGTATCTTGTACCTTTTGCAATTTCTTATATCATGGAAGAATATTACTTTTGTCTTTCTCCAGGGCGGATCATAAATTTGACTCCAGAGGTATAAGATTAACAGTCATCGGTACACATTTCAATATCATATATATTTCATTGATATTTTATTTATTATATTATATATCAATCATACTTATATTATTTTTTAAGTGTTAATCAACATGATAATTTTATTTTATTAATATAAATAGATTTTAGGGAGACTGTAAAATATTTTTGTAGTAATTTAAATACACTTAAAAAAAGGGGTTTCTATCTTTTATTTTTACTTTTTATATATATAAGTATATCTGTCTGTTAACAAAGTGCTCAATAGGATAAAGAATACCTGAAGGAACGCTAGATAGAGTGTTAGCAGAAGAGGGTGTAGTAGCATTACGACAATAATAGTCTTTAAGATGTGCCGGTGGTCGATGAGATCTACTTGTACGTCGAAGAGGCATGGAAGATGGAGATGAAGTATCAATAGAACTCTCCCTTTCAACAGACTATAGATCAGGTAAATGTGCAACATCTGAAGAGGAAGTACGAGTATCATGTGGTTCATACAAAATCATAGATGTGGAAGTAGGATGTATGGGAGCTGGAGGAATGTCCGTGGTAGGTGATGCAAATGGAAATTCATCCTCAAAAAATTTAACATCACGAGAGACAAAAATCTCCTTTGTATCTAAATTAAACACCTTCCAACCCTTTTTGTTAGATGGGTAGCCTACAAAAACACATTTTTGTGAGCGTGCAGCAAACTTATCAAACGGTTTAGGCAAAACTGTAGCATAACACAAACAACCAAGGACCCTAATATGGTCATAACTGGGTGGAGTATCATGAAGTACTTCATA